GGGAATACGGGCAAGACGACGAGAGATTGGCGGGATGATGGATTTCACGAAATTGGGTCTATAGCCCGAGCTGCGCGCCGTGACACCATCCTCACAGCTCAGTCCGACCGCCTTGAACACGACCAGTCATCCACAAGGAAATTGAGAGGGAATACGGGAATTGAGCTGTCTCTTATACACATCTAGATGTGTATAAGAGACAGTCTTCACGCAGCTCTTTCCCGACAGCGCGGCGGAATAATTTCCTAACCTTACAGGCACATTTTTCAAATTGCATTCCATGCATCTGAAATTGTGAATCCATAGAGACCGACACCTGCATTCGCCCAATGATCTACAAAAAAAAAAAAAATGGCACAACTATGCCCTCAAACTGGGTTTTTATTACTTTTAAGTTTTAACTTTTTACAACAAATCGATGCGATTTTCTTCACTTGATCGAATGAATAGGAACACAGAGAATTGGAACACAGAGCATTGGATGGATATCAGGTATTATCAATTTATCAGCACATTGTAGGCCAGTCAGCACAGAAGCCAGTGGTTCTTTTCGATTGGAGTGTTGAAACGCTGACCAGGCACTAGAGACTCAGAACTCACGCTCACTCAATCCACACTTTCCAAAGGGAAACTTCTAAGCCGCATGAATCATAATGAAGCTGACCATTGTGGGAAAGGTCGTCCACTGAAAAACACCGCAAGCAAGTGTGCTGCCTATACAAGAAGAATACGCATGGCATAACACCACCAACAATATATAATGTCACAGCTGCCACCATACCAAACACCAAACACTGTAAATGAAATCATGTCCAACTTCCTGAATACTCTGCCCGTAACTCTACAGAAGGTACATTCCACAGCGCTCCGAGTGAGACCTACAAGAGATTTCGAAAAGGACTGAGCTCATAACTCCACAGATGGGGACTTGCCTTCGCTCCTAAGTGGTCCCCACCAAAGGTTCCAAATAGGAACCACTAAATGACAAAAAAGAGGCTATTCAGAATTTCAAAACATTTGACAATAGGCTGGACAGAAATAGCACGACATCGATAACACTTGCAACACCCAGCCAATGTGACAACCGACTGCCCGACTGCACCACTGAATAAGGGAGACCCAAATGACCACCTGTCATATGCACCAGTTCTTTGCTTATTTTTTGAAAATTTATCAGCACCAGCATCATGACGATGACTGGGGGGGGGGGGGAAGAAAACATCACTCACACCAATTTGCCTTGCTCCTTGGTACAAGTACAAGACGGCGGATGAAACAATCACGATCACCAACCTGCCTCCACGATCCACGGCACAACAGACATCACAAACCAGTTTTTCCAAACGAATACACGCTAGTCGAGACAACCACCCTACTCCACACGAGCTTTCTTCGGAGCTGGAGGACCCATGTTTCCTTGTTCAGGCCGCCTCCTTACGTTCGCCATAAAATCCGCCTGCAAAGAGTCCATTTCCACCGAAATTGCAGACAACAAGCCTCGATTTCAGATCGACTGCACAGTGCATACCCTTTCGACTTCTGCCATATGCTAAAAGAACATCAAAAAAATTGAGAGTCAAAAGTAATACTAAGTGTAGTCACTTCGAAAGGATGTATACGCATTATGACAATGCTAACTGGGTGCAGGTACACTGTCCTGGCATTTTGCTCATGAAACATGCATTTATAAAAATAGAAAAATAGTGAAAAATACATTATTATGTACGAAGTACTACGATTTTTTTTTATTTTTTATTTTTGTGTGTGTGTGTGTGTGGGAGGGGGGGGGGGGGGGGGGGGGGCATGTACGAACATTTCACTGTGTGTTACCGAGTACATGTGCTAAGTGCTGGAATTTGAAGCATTTTAAAATTTAAATTTTTAATCTGGGCTACCAGAGTTGCCTGGGCCGGGCTGCCCGGACAGACAGCCAAGCCCAGGCGACCGGGACTCACCTGCCCAGCTCACCCAGGCAGATTGCAAATGCAGAGTCTTCTTTTTTGCCGTAATGATGGTGAAGCTGTTGTGTGGCCCCCAAGATGTTCCCGAATCCGGGCTTTTTCACCTTTGTTGGACACGTTGAGGAGAGGAGGGGGTTGTCTGCATGTGCAGCTACAGATGATCTCTCTCTCTCTCTCTCTCTCTCTCTCTCTCTCTCTCTCTCTCTCTCTCTCTCTCTCACACACACACACACACACACACACACACACACACACAAGAAGAAGGAGAAGAAGAAGAAGGGGGCACACACCTCATTCCTTGGGCGGCTCGGTGAGGGACCACAGGTAGTGGTAATGAACGCAACAATGGGGAGGCACAGCGGGCAAAGTGGAATGGTGCCAACGACGCCGGGCGAGAAGGCACTGGAAACTCGAGGCACCAATGAGCGCAGGACGGGCACTAGAATTCAAATGTCCTTTGGAATTTGAATGCTCCTCTTACCTCTCACCAGGCTAAATCTGGGCCATACACAGTCCAGATCGCTTCATCTCTGAAAAAGGAAATCGGGGCCCAGTTTTCTGTTTTTCTCTGCAGTCTAAGGACTCTAAACACAGCAGTCTTCTGGGGTCCCGGGCCAAACCGGGCTTGAACGGGCACTTGCCAATTTGTGTGCTTTGGCCCAGTGGCCTGCCACGTGCTGATCCACGCAGCCCGCGCGGCCCAGGTGGTAATCCAGTTTAAACTTTAAATTTTAAAATTTAAAATTTAAAATTTACTATTTAGTTAGTTCCGAGTTTTGAGCAACAGTTTTCTTCAGAATGTCTACAACATAGAATGCACACAGATTCCTACGATTCCACTCTCCATCCCACATGGAGAACTCCACTCTCCATCCCACATGGAGAACATTAAAGCCTTAAAGGAGGAGTGATTAAGGGTGTAACGATGTATTATTGAGAGAGTCAGTTGTTTCCACAAGTAAATGCAAGACAGAACGCAGTCGCTTTTATTTGCACATCACACATTGAGAACGAAAACCTTCTTTCTTCTCCAAATGGATGAAAGGCTGGGTGATTTTCTTGATGACAACCTTCTTTCTTCTTTTCCAAATGGATGAAAAGCTGGGTGATTTTCTCGACGACTTCCTGGTACCTAGCCAAGGACGACTTTTCTGGACGGCTTTCCGGATTACTTCCCAAGTTCCTACCCTTCAGTAGTTGGGTTTTGCAACTGCCTGAGACTTACAACAGTCTTAAACCCGGCCGCTTTTTTGTTTTGTTTTGTTTTGTTTTGTTTTGTTTTGTTTTCTGGGGGCTGGTCTTAAACCATCCCCACCGTTCTCCACCACCCTGGTTGCCAGGAGACCGTAAACTTGCCATTCATCCCACCATCCCGCGGTCACACGATCCACAAACGGACCCACCATCCCGCGGTCACACGATCCACAAACGGAAAGCCACAAAGCCTAGGAATATACTCTGCGTCACACAAAGACTATTCCTTACACTGACCGTTTACGGCGTTTAGAGAGTGAAGACGACGAGAATTTTCAAGGGATGCCATAGAGACACTGATCAGACTGACGAAAAAAATAGCGCCTGGGAGCAGAGTCACATGATTCAAAAACGGGAGGCAAGAAAGCGTAGAGGAATATACTTTGCGTCACAAAAAGGCCATTTCTTACACACTGACCGTTAAGAGAGGGAAGACGAACGGGAAGCCAGAACAAGAACCCGGAAAGAATAACATCTACTAGTGCAGGGACACGCTAGGACCCCTTGAGGAAAGAGCAGGGGCAACCACGCAACTCCTCATTGTTAAGTACCTTCTTCCCCCCTACACGCCACCCAGTCATTTGCTTGCATCAGACTCGAACATAAATACACAGGTATAATGACCGAGTGACAGCAGGTGTTGTGTTCACAGAAATAAGGTAGCACTTGTCGTACCCAGGGTGTAGCGGACCATGGCCAGCGGGGCCAGACAACTGCGCTTGAAATATTTTCTTTTTTTAACTGTTTTTCCTAGGCTGTTTTTCCGGGCGCCCGGGCACCCAACTTATGCCCGGGTGCCCGGCCGGGCAGGACCCCCAGACAGGGTTCGGGACAGGCCCAGCACAAAACAAAACAAAAAAATCAAAAAATCAAAAAAATCCGGGGAAAAAAAATATGTTCTGTAGAATTGCAATACAAACGACTTTTGGCTGAGGGGTCACATTACAATTCCTCAAGGAATCGGGGATAAAAAAAAGAAAATAACAGAATCACACTAAGGCACCCCCCTTTAAACCCGTTTAGCACATTAAAATTTTAAAACCGATTTATACCCCCCTCCCTTCCCCCCCCCCGCTTGAAAGCCAACTCGCAAAAAAAGAAATGAGCCCGGATTTGGGTCCTCTGGGAGAGTGCAGAAAAGGGGGGGCGAGGGGGGGGGAGACGTTTTTTTAACTTTTTTTTTTTTTTTTTTTTTTTTTTGCATGCCCGGGTGCCCGGCCGGGCATGAAAATCTTCCTAGTGTGTTTCTTCTTTTTCTATCTTGGTTTTTCAAACTTTTGGACTTCTCAAGCATTTAGAAGCCTTTTCTATCTTCTCCGCATTGCTTCAACTTTTGGCAGATGGCCCAACGGACACCGAGCGTGAACTTTCAAGATCCAGACACTGTACAGAACAGTGGCATATGAAACATAGAGGCCGGTAGCAAGCAACTACTCGCAGCACTTGAGGCAACTGAAAAACTCACCTTCTTGTCTCCAAGCATTGGTGTCAAACCACCAAGATGTTCCTTCTCAACGGTCGCAAAAGCACTCTTTGGATCACTCGTTTGTCTGCAAACAACAACAGGACAAGAAAAAAAAACGCCACAATGAAAACTGTAACGACCCGCCAAAAACACAGACTGAGAACACTGCTGATTTCTGGGATTTGCCGCTGGAATGAATGCCTTGTTGAAATTCCCGCATCCTGCTGTGATTTCCATGTCTGTGTGTGTGTGCGTGCCTRCTGGTTTGCATGCCTGTCTGAGTGCTTGGCGGTTGAGTGTGTGTGTGACMCGCAAGGGTACTTGTTGGTTGCAAGGCCCCGCAGGGCCGGTACTTACCTGTGGCCGTGACTGTGAAAGGTTGCAAGGGGGAAAACACTCGAGTAGCGGGGGTAGGCCCGCGGCACTTAGAGCAGAGGGGAAAAACACTCAAGTAGCAGGTAGGCCGGTACCACTGAAGTAGTGGTAGAAGTGTCGAGTACTGGAGGCCAAGCAGAAGAAGACAAAAAGTTGCCATTTTTAGAGGCCCAGTAGCGATAGGTTAGAGGTTGGCCGGTACCAGTCCAAGTAGCCCGGGTCTAGGGCTTGTGCGGACGATAGCAGAGCCTGCAATGATGTTTCCCTCCGAAAGGGAGGAGGTACCGGTTGCCGGGAGGCCACTCGGCCTAGGAAGTCACCGCCAAGGAGGCCGGTAGGCCGCTATATCTTCAGGAAGAGCGGAGAGCTCTTCCTCATTTGCAGTGTGCAAGGATTGGCGACATGCTGCTGGAGCACAGCGCTGGAGGTACAGCGCTGCTCGGAAGGAGAAGGGCAGCTGGAAGCTCAGCCTGGCTATGGCGAGCAACCCAGCTTGAGGAGGAGGGGAATGGTAGGAGAGTGGCGGGGCACTTACCTGGCTATGGAAGACACCATCTTCATCACCTTGTTGGGCGCTGCATCTGGAAGGCCCCAGTTGGGGTAGTGCGGCACCAGGGAAGCTCGAGGCAGAGTCGGGCATAGCGGACCAAGTCAGCAGCGGCATAGCTGGTCTGCGTTGTCCCTTGGACATCAGCGCAGCACCATAGCTGCTTGAGTTGTCCTTTGGACATCAGCGCAGCACCCTAGCTGCTTTTAGTAGTCCGCCATAGCCTATGCATGAGAGAGAGGAGGCGGAAGGAGGGAAGCCATAGCTATGGTGGACTGGTTGTTGTTGTTGTTGTTGTTGTTGAGTTGAGTCAGCAGTAAGGGGGAACTTCGGATACTGATTCTGGTTCATCCATTCATTGTTATTATTATTATTAAGGGAAGAATAAGATTGGTGAAGTGGAGGAGGGGGAAGGTGGAGAGAGAAGGGGGCATTGTCATTGGTCTTGCTGGTGTACTTCTTCTTCTTCTTCTTCTTCTTCTTCTTCTTCTTCTTCTTCTTTCTCTCTCCTCTGGTCTTTATCTCTTTGCAAGTGCTTTCATTTCTTTCGCAATTGGGTGGCATTGTCTTTCATTGTGAATTTGCACTTGGGAAATGACCAGGATCGTAACAAAACACAAAAAACAAATTCCGCAAAACAAATTGTTATTAACATGCGAACAACAGCGAGAGAGTTCTATGCTTATTGCACAAACCCGTCAATGCACTTTCCAAAAACATGCCAATCCTCTCGGGAACCCCGTCGGATTTGAATAGCAAATCGACGGCACTCCCGTGTAAAAACTACACACTTGGGAAGCATCTGCACAAAACGGATGTGCGCACTGCTTGCATTTGGGTTCGACCTTGGGTCAAGAGAATGTCCTTCAAGGCGCCCATTCAAATACGGACAAATAAAACTAATGAGCTTAGCTCAGCTGCTAAAGTGGCGGTACACCCATGAACTGTTGACATACAGACCTGAGTTAGAATCCTTATGGACCCTTATGAACGGATTAAAATTTAAAATTCATTAAATCATTCTGAATTACCCAGGGCAGGTAAGATCGATGAAGACATCCCGAGGCCGTTGCCTTTTATGAAGAGAAAAAAGACAAAACAAGACACTGAAATGCAGAGTAGTCACGCCGACGGTCGGCGGCCCTGGACCCGTCGGCTGCCGACCAGCCATCGGCGCCGACCAGTAGGCACCCCGCAAAAAAAATAAAAAATATTTTATTTTTATTTTTTTTGGGGGGGGGGTCCCAGAACCCCAAATAACCCCATCCACAGCCCCATAGCCCCCCCCAACACCCCCATACCGCCTCCTAACACCCTCATACCCCTCCCTTAACCCCCAATTACCCCCCTATACCTCCCCCTAACACCCTCATACCCCCCGCTTTACCCCAACAACCCCCTATAATCCCCACCACCCCAAAAAAAATTATTGCGGATTTGGGCTGCTCTTCTCAAGCCGCACACGACCATGTAATCAGAAAAAAAAAATAAAAAATTAGGCAGTCTGCCAACCGCTGACGGGTCTGCTATGGGTCGGCCGACTGGTAGGCGCGCCTATGGCCTACGGTAGGCGTAGGCGGTAGGCGCCAAAACAACCCTGCTGAAATGGGCATTTCGGGGGTCAAACCGTCAAATTCCTTTTCCTTTTGCTTTCTCGTCTTGGGAAACCTGTCTCATTTTTTTCTGCTCAGGGGTCGTGTTGTGTGGATTGGGTGCGATGTTGGAATCTCAGAAATCGACATTTCAGGATAAGTTTGTTTTTTTCCAAGATGACGTGGTTCGTTTCTTCCATGACGATCTGATGCCCTTAGCCTAAGCTGGGTAATGGCCCCGGTAGGGCCGGTACTTAAAATTTTCTGAATTTTTTTGTGAAGGTACGCTAGCCCCCGTTTCCAGCACGTGATGCTCCCTACAAACAGATTGGAGCACGTTCTTTCTTAAGCCACCACTACCTCCAAGCCTCTTTTTGCCGAGGCGGAGAAGGACTATGCACCAAGCTCTGCCGAAGAACCAGTGCTGATCAGTTTAATGTCTGACCCGTGGTCCATTGGGGGATCGGAAACACACACACACACACACACACACACACACACACACACACACACACACACACACACACACACACACACCAGGCAGGCACAACTACCATATATAACACTGCAGAATTCCCTCACCCTGGCTTGATGTTGCCGCTTAGAACAATGTACGGCGTATTGAGATTTGCTTGCGCCTGTCGCAGTTTTTCCATCGACATCAACGGAGTATCGCCGGAACTCATTTGTTTAAGCTTCAACTCCTCTTGAAACTGCTTCATCCTTTTTTCCTGTTTCATTTTCCCAGGACCTTTGCCATGGAACTTGTGGGACAGCTGTCGAAAGGCTTCCTTCGGAGTCATCTGCAACCATCAACCGAATCGTAGCAACAACATGCAGAGTATTATTAAATCAGCTCATCACCGAAC